GAGGCCGCAGGACGAGGCGCTGCCATGGCTGGAGCCCCGTCATCAGGGCTGCCTGTCGGGGTCCCCTCTCAGGGCTGTTCCCAGCCTGTGCCCATCCCTGTGCTGCCACCCCACGGGGTGTGGGGCCGTGGGTCAGGGTAGTGGGGTGCCCCACATCTGGCATTGGTGGTTCAGTGGTAGAATTCTCGCCTGCCACGCGGGAGGCCCGGGTTCGATTCCCGGCCAATGCAACAGCTGCAGCTTTTGCCACCCGGGGGGACCTCGGGGGCTGCTGGAACACCTTTGGGGGACCCAGAGTTGCTTCCTTGGGCATCACTGCCGCTGCCGTCCCCCTCGACCCAGTCCCTGTGCGGGTGCGCAGCCCCCCAGGGGTGGCACTGGTGGCAGGCACAGCCCCTTGGTGACCCTCCTGGGGCTTGGTGACAGGGGCTGCCCCTGGGTCAGGGACAGTGAGTGTTCAGGGCCCCTGTCTTGGTGGCAATGATGGTCCGTGGCTCGGTGGCAGTAAGTCACCCTGGCTCAGGGGCAGTCAGCATCACTGCCTTAGTGGCAGTGAGGGTCCCTGGCCCAGAGCAATGGGCGCTGCTGGGGACCAGGAGGTGTCACCACATCCAGAGGCAGCTGTGTTTGGGTGCCGGGTGAGGGTGGCCTGTCCCAGTTGGGTCACCAATGTGAGCTCGAAGTGTATCCAAGTTGTCCTGTGCCATGGGGCAGGTTCTGCAGCCCCTCGGAGGACACCATGAGCTTTGCTCGGTGTTGTCACCAGAGTGTTAACTCTGAAGGCTAATGACAACCACCCCTGGCTGGAGGGGACGTCTGAGGCCGCAGGACGAGGCGCTGCCATGGCTGGAGCCCCGTCATCAGGGCTGCCTGTCGGGGTCCCCTCTCAGGGCTGTTCCCAGCCTGTGCCCATCCCTGTGCTGCCACCCCACGGGGTGTGGGGCCGTGGGTCAGGGTAGTGGGATGCCCCACATCTGGCATTGGTGGTTCAGTGGTAGAATTCTCGCCTGCCACGCGGGAGGCCTGGGTTCGATTCCCGGCCAATGCAACAGCTGCAGCTTTTTGCCACCCAGTGTCCCTGAGAGGGGGGACATCTCAGTGACACTCGGGTGACCTGTCCCTGCAGACGGACGTGGAGGCAGTGGTGGCCGACCTGGTGAAGCTGGTCCACAGCGCAGGTGCCGAGAGCCGGAGGAAGGCCGTGCGCCCCAAGGCACTGCTGGACAACTGCCTCAAGGTCATGCGGATGCTCTACGGGGCACCTTGTAAGTGGGGACAACGAGGGGGGACACAGGGACACCTTGGGGACACGGAGGTGCTCACGCGCGTGGGTGTCCTGTCCCACACGCTGATGCCTGTCCCCTCTGCCCAGGTCGATGGGAGTCAACTTAACGCCGCAGAAGACCCCTCGCTCGATGCCTTCTCCTTGCCCTGGAGCCTGGGATGCTGCCTCTGCTCTGCTCGCCCCCCCCCGAGCCCCCTGGGGGGGGTGTGTGCGGTGTCCCCAAGGAGGGTGCGAAGTGGGGGGGACAAACGCCACCCTCTCTGGGACCAAACACCGCCATCTCTGGGACCAAACGCCGCCATCTCTGGGACCGTGGGACTGTGCACGGCCACGGGGGTCGGCCC